TTCCATACTTGTCTTCTATCCTTGACATTGACCTCTTACCTTCTAAAGATAGGGCAACTGCATGAGGGTGGATCTCTCTGCTATCAATGGAATGTTCTCCCATGCTCCACCTCCATTGTTTTTCAGGCATGGAGAACCATGGTGGAGGTCCTAGTTTTTAGTATGGCTTCTATCTCATATTTCCTATGTCATATTTTCCCTCTTCTTTTTATTTCCATCACTGTCCCATCACTTAAGGATTCAACATGGTTTCTGATCTATTTTTGTACATCACTATATGTTTATTTAAGATATATTTTCTCTCATCTATGGGGATTTGACAGTTCTCAAATGACACTTTGAATACAATTAAAGCTTTTATAGGTTTAATTTAGATAATTGTATTTACCCAGATATCTTCACTGCTATTTCAACTCAGACTCACTTTTAAGACTCACCACTAATTGTCTTTTTACTGTAGGTACTATTGCCATGCATATCCAGAGACCTATTGAAAGTGGAGAACCATGATGGAATTATTTTTATACCTTTTTAGCACTAACAATGTATGAATCTCAAGAAGACTTATACTAAATAATAAGACAAAGATAAGCTATCTTATTTCATTTCTTTACTATTATAGATCTTAAACATAACTATTTTTTCTACCAAAGGGGACAAAAAGATATCAACAGGAGGAGATATTTTAAAATTGAAAACTATTAATACCTTATCTCATTGTTAGGATAATTTGCCAATAAAAAATACTCTCTTAGGTTCAAATCCACAAACATATATGGCAAATGGATTCACACAAGAGGGTTTAGAAAACAGCCTTTTGTAAATATAGTGAGATTTAATTGCCTATCAAAAATAACTGATTTTTGAGGATGAGGATTTTGCTCCCTAGAGGATGGTCAACACTCATTTTTATCATATGAGAATTTAAAGCTATTTCTCAGGAGAGTTGTCAAGGAAGCCTTAAAAGGAATCTCTTTATTCTCATATACATTTCCTGATCTGTTTTTCTTTCTGCTGTTAAAATTAAGTGGATCCTGTACTGAAACGTATCCTCATTGCTTTTTATTCTCCCCAGAATTATTCATGTCATAGTCTATTTTTCTCCATTTATTATACTAATTTGCTTTTAATTTGACAGTTTTTCTCATGTTTCAATGCATTGTTTTGACAGTTAGTTATTCATCAAGATTTTACTTGAAAAAAGATGATAATTCATGTTCACATTTACCTTATTTTAGTCATTCTTTTTATTCCATAGTCCTACATGCATTACAATGACAGAGACTATAACTGACAAGATAATGGATTGAAGTTTAGAAGTTGATCTAGCTAAAGAGGGTTCGCTGGATACTGAAAACTAAATTGAAAGCAAAAAAAAAAAAAAAATAGAGGAATGCAAAAAAAAATCCCTTTGAGAGATGGACAATATAATCTAATTTAAAAAGTCACTATCTATGCTTAACCATAAGATTTACCTGCACAGGTGCATCGGGCATGACTATTGAGAAGAATGTCAGTTTTTCTTAACCTGTGCTGTCTGCTCTCCTCTCTGCTTTGTACATTCCCCTTGAGAAATGGAATTTGTTGTTTTCATTCCTTTTCTTCTCTACACTTAACCTGTCCTTCTTATTTTTGTTGCTTAGTTTTTTCCTAAAACTAAAAACTTTCTTTCACTCCCTCCCTCCTAGTCTCATTTCGGCTCCTTCTCAAGTATTTTAGCAACTCTTTCTGACATAGTTTTAATGATGAAGATGAAATTTGTTTTTTCACATTCTTCTCCATTTACTCCTATGTCCTATTCCTTAAGAAGTTTGATAAAGAAAATTGAACTTATAGTTATGCTTTGAAAATGAGCTTTTGATTGCCAATGTTTACAAGCCTCTCAAGCAAAGGGGTCCAATACCTTGCAGAAGCAGCAGTGGGCCACTTGCAAGGAGCTGTTTATTCAGTGTATTATGTCAAGGGCCTTCCAAAACAGATGAGATAATAGAGATCAAAAAAGATAAATTCATGCCATTTTTAGAAACATGAATGGAGCTGAAAGAAATAACGCTAAGCAAAATAAGTCAGAAGGAGAAGATAAATATCAGATCGTGTCACTAAAATTGGAAGATAGAGAAGCTAAGAGTCAGATCAAGACAAACTTAAAATCTAACCCTTAAAAGCTGTCTATAGAACTGACTAAGGTGGGGAAGGGGAGGGGTCAGAACAAAGAGAGAAGGAAGCACAATGGTCTATGGGGGTGAACTATGATGACAATACCTGATGGGGTATCAAAATGTTACCTCATTTAAAAATAAATAAAATAGTATGAAGTGAAATAAGTTAAACATAAAAAGACAATGAAAGACAAGTCCCGTTCTGAATCTTCTTTTTTCTTCTCAATAGACCAGTTTGAGTTGGAGCCTGCTCTAGAAAGGATATAAAATAAAATTATTTCACAATTTTTCATAAAAAACTTGTGTAAGGTTCATGCAGTTGAATCAATACCACCTTCTCCTTATTCAGAACAATTAAGGAAAAAGATCGAAAGCCCTATAATTTACAAATATGAACTTTATAAACACAAAAGGAAATGTCAATTCAATACTGATTTTTATAACCGTGTTTTTATTTAATTTTTATTATTTGGGGATAATGATCATACTAAAATCCATGTTAATATGATAGACAAATGCAATGTGCTTTTATAAGGACTTAATCATATTGCAGTATTTATAATTTTATTTTAAATTCTTAATGAAATGGTCAGTACAAATTTTACAGACATAAGATGGGGTTTTGACATCACTATATTTTTTAAATCACTCTTAAATAAGGCCATTATCATATTTAGCACATAGCTATTATATATCTACTTCTTAGAAGCACTGTTTTAAACAATAAGTGAAAAAGATCATTTTCTCATAAAAGCTAATTTAGATTTAATGTTGTGAACATCCCATGTACTTTACAGAAAGCCACTACTTAACTAAAAATATTTAAAAAATAATTTCACACAAAAAATTAAATGCCACTATTTAGTATTTTATTGTAGAGCTGGGAACATTACATAAATGGCAAAGAAATAAAACAGGGAAGAAGGCCTATTAAGCAGCCTAGACTTTATTTATATGAAAGACTGTTGAAACTCCTGCTCGAGATAGTGAATTTCAATTTATTTAATAGCTAAACAGGTCCATGTCACAATTAATTTCTTTTAAAAACCTGGTTTTCAAATATCAAATTGGACAAATACCTGATAAATACTTTCTTCCTTAAAATATGTAACTTTTGTTTGCCCAGCAGCTCTGCTTTTTCAGCTACAAATGGCATGTCACCCCACTTTATTGTTCTAGAGATGCCCTTTTGCTGCATAATAGAGGATTAGTTTCAAACAGGAAAAATTATAGTGCTCACTCTGAGCCCACTCTCTTGGCCTCAGATCAGTTGATCTAGTTATAGGCACAGGCACATGGCCAGAGTTGGCCAATGCACTCATTCTGGAGCCTTTTCTTGTTACCATGTGCATTTATTGTAGCTTAAGTTTTATTATGTAAACAGATTATTAGTTGCCAATGGACGCACGTCATGCTTCATTGGCTAAAGGAGCAAAGGTGATTTCTCTGATGGGGAGGAGAAAGAGAGAGAGAGAGAGAGAGAGTAGGAGAGAGAGAGGGGAGAGAGAAAGAGGAGAGACAGGAGAGTGAGACCTTTAAAATAAAAAAAAAAAAAGAAAAAAAAAAGAAATTACTGTACCCCTCAAAGTAGAAGAGAGACGGATAGTCCTAATGGCATTTGCATTATTTGAATTCTTTTTTTTTTTTTTTAAGATTTATTTATTTGTTTGTTTGTTTGTTTATACAAGCACTGGGTACAGTCAGAAGCGCAGGAGGGTGAGAGAATTCACCAGAGACAGAGCGGGGAGCAAAACAGGCAGACAGACGAAGTACACTGCTGAGGGGAGCAGAGGTCTGCGCGCCATGTGGGACCCTCCTCCTGTGGACGGGGAGCAGCCGGGGATCGAACCAGCGCCGCAGAGGCTGTGGGCAGCTTCGCAACCCAGCGCTCAACCGCTGTGCCACCGGGGAGGCCCCATTATTTGAATTCTTGTTTCTCTTCTTTGCCTGGAGTTTGGTTCTTCCACATGCTAATCTCAAATTCTTTCAAGAAACGGACCCCTTTGCATTTTGTTCTTTTTTGAGTTGTCTCTCATTACCACCAAAATATTTCTAATAATCACAAATTATATAGTATTTTACAAGTCTCATTTAGAGAGACATCCTTTTGAAGAAAGGCAAACTTGTAAATATAGTCTATGGTCAGATGCAGCGATTCCTCATAAACCTAATATCAATTTTGGTTAATGTTTAAAGAAAGTAAACAGCTAAAGTAAAGCTGTTGAATCTATTAAGAGATGCTTAGAAGTATTATAGGCTTTGAGATGTGGACTTAATTTAATGAGTTAGAAAGGTAACTGAAATAAGTTGGCATAAGAAATTTCCTTACTTGGTTTAACCTCATACAGAGTTAAATAATCTCAATGATTTTTAATGTGATTACTAATCACCAAGTTGTCAAAAAATGGAAAACGTGCCTATTTCCCTAAATAAACTCAGTTTCCTCTTGCATGTAAAATGAGCTCTTATGATCCATTTCTAAATTCCTTTTCACTTTAAGATCTTTTTAAGGGTCTTCATCACAAAAAGCAGTCTTCTAAGTTCCCTGTTTTTGTGAAGACATAAGCCCCAATATTCTGTAACTTTAATGTTTAATGGAGGAGATAAAGAAAATATGTTCACTTTTATATGGATGTCCATATAGTAGGTGCAGATATTTATGAAAAGGTTTTAACAGTCCTTAGAAAGCCAAGAGCCTGTGTCTGCCTTTGAAGAACATCACTATTTCTGTGGCCTCCATCACCATTTAGAAATTGGGAACTCAGACCTATCTGGTAGCCCAGCACCTCCTGTTTAAAATTAGAGTTCAAGGTTTATTTATTTATTTTTTTAGGATAATGACTGTATGGAATATGCTGAGGAGAACAAATCAGGATAGAGCTCTGCCTTTTGCAGACAGACAGAAGAACACACCAACTGGGCAGATTGCCCATCTTCCAAAGGCACCTCCTTCAGCAGCTGCTGAACCATGATGATGTGATTCTTGCCCCTCATGATCATTTCCGTTTCCTTGACTGCTCCTTATTGAACATCGCAGTGGTAAGTCTCTGCTGCCTAAGCACCCCCGCCCCCTCTGTGTTGCAACTTTGCTTGTTTGACTCAACTTTCCTTCTTTCGACCTATGCTCATGGCTTTCTGGTGATGACACATTCATTCTGGCCATTTTCTGATCTGGCCATTTCGCTTCTCTTTCCAAAGCCAAGTCCTCAGACGATTATAATTCACTTGTCCCTTAGATTTCTTAGAAAAATTTAAATTCACTCTTGAAGATTTAAATTCATTTCATTTAAATTTATTGAAATCTTTCATAAAATCTACTGCTGGTTTATAGCTTATGAGGCCACTTAGAGAGTTTTCAGTGGACTGGAGAGAGAATACAAAGACAGTGCCATGGGTAGAGTAGAAAACTAGGGAGAGCTGGAGAAAGGGATATCACTTAAAAGTAAAGTTATTATGTGAGTCTGCATTTGCTGGTCTGTTTTACTAGTGTAGGCATTTTTGCTTAAGGTTTATTTGTTCCTTTCACATAACGTCTGACAAAGAATTGATAGCAAATCAATATTGTTTCAATTAATAAATGGAAAATAATAGCGAGTGTAAACCAAGTTTATCAAAGAATAAAGGAGATATTATAATCCATATCTGAATCATCTTTGTGGAAGATGAAGGGAAGGAAAAAGGCAAGATTCTCTCAGATTTTGGGTTACTGTTTCTGAGTCATTAGTGATATTCACGATCAGGGGTAACAGAGGAGAGAAGAGTCTCTGAAGATGCAGAGGATGACTTTGGCTTTTGTGGCATTTAATTTTTGATACCCTGGGGAAAACCCAAGGAGCTGTCTTTTAGGGATGTAGATATTTCAATCTGGAACTCAGAAGAGAGATTGAGGCTGGAGATCTGTTTTCAATGATGGGATTCTTAAAGAGGGGAACTTCAGTATTTTAAAAACAAACTGCAAGAATATGCCATGAAAGAGATGGGAGGAAATTGATCCAAGAACTAGAAAGGTAAACAAAAATGTCATGGAAATTTAGAGAAGAGAAACTACTGAATGCTATGAGGTTGTCAAACATGCTTCTTGCAAAAGTGCCAGAATATAAATCCGGCATGACCTATCCAAACAGGGGGAACACAAATCTTATCAGCTGGTACTTCCCTTTGATCTGAGTTTGATTCTGTGTAGGGCTGGCTGTAAAGGTAACTGAAGGCTGCATAGAGAAGGCTGTTTTAATAGCTTTATTCTCTCTTCAAACTGGAATGCATGCTGCTGTCTTCTGTCATGATGTGAATGAAACATTCATGTTTCTCTTTCTCTCCCAGTGAGCATTTTGTTTGAGTGACTGAGAAGCCTGCCTTTGCTTTAAAGTGAACAATGTAACTTCTGAGTTCTTAAAATAATCTCTGGAAAATACTCTCATTTCAACCTGCGGTTATTTACTTCCCAAGTAGTATTTGAACATAGTTGGCAGTACAATTCTTTACACATAGATTGTGTCTACTCGGGGTATTCATTTATGTCAGATAAATGAATGACGTAATTATGGACACAGGTTTATTGATCTGTTATCATGGCCCACATGCAGTTGACTGCGATGAATCTTTACAGTCTGCATGTGGGCATAATCACTAGTACTGGAACTATTTTTGATCATTTTGAAGTGGACTTAGTCTGTGGGAGAAGACTGATAATGAAACGCAATAAAAAATAATGAGCTAAATGAACCAATATTCACCTAAAACATTTCTAACTCTTGGTGATTTTGCAAGAATGTTCTTATCTATTCTATGACTTAGTTTTTGACTCTGAAAAGTTGTGTCTACTTGAACTTGGGCCATGGGCCTAATTTGTGATTCCAGCTTTTGCAAATTGGAACATATATTAGAGTTCAGATTTCCTAAGCCAAGGATATATTACAAATCCCCATTTCTTCTTTACTAATGGAAAAATGAAGTGATCTTCAATGGGGAGGGACTCCCTCTTCAATGGGATTGCCTGTAGAACAAAGGCTATTTGCATGTAAGTTTGGAATCATTGTGTGTAAAAGGTGGTGTGTTTTGATGTATCATATCAATCACTTTGTTCTTTTGTTAAGATTTTTGTTTTGTGTTTCGCAGAATATAAATCTGGTTTATTGCCTTTAAATATTTATGTGGAGTCATATATTATCTTTAAAATTTAATGTTTTTCATGGCATATTTCATAGATTAGAATTAAGAGCTTCTATAATTTATGAGCCAACCAATTGAGTTTATGAATATAAAATGGAACCAATCAAGCCACTAGAATGAAGATACAGAAGTGAAGTTGCCCTGGAAATATTAGTTACTAGTAGTTGAGAACTGTATTATGCTAAAATAAAATAGATTACCTCTATGAGAATTCTAAACAATCCAGTAAAATTTGATTTTGTGGGTTCCCCTCCACTATATCCAGGAGAACCAAATTTGGACTGAATGAGGGACTGAATGTTTCTATCCCTTAAATTTCATAAATTGAAGCTCTGACCCAGTGTGATGGTATTTGAAGGTGGAATCTCTGAAAAGTTATTAGGTTGGATTAGATCTATGAGAGTGGGGTCATCATGGAATTAGTGGCTATATATCAATAAGAAGGGAGAAGGAGATTTCTTTCTCCACTTGTGAAACACAGCTCGAAGGTGCAAGCCAGTAAGAGACTTCTCACAAGAAATGGGGTTGGCCATGCACCTTGATCTTGGATTTCTGTAAGTAAATTTCAACCAATCTATGGTATGCTGTTATGGGAGCCCATGTCCCCCAAGGCAATGATGATATTTCCTTACCTGCTTCCTTGTTTCTTTATTTTTCAGAATTTGATTTCTCCCTCCATATTTCAAATACTGACAAATCAATAACCAAAATTGAAATGATGTCATTGTTGTCAAGAATAAGGTGGTTGTTTAATTAGTGTTGAGAAGAGTAAGGCAGAGAATGTGTTTTGAGGGGAGAGCTATCCCACTGGCCCAGTGCACCACCGTTTGTGTATTCTAACTGCTAAATGCAGTTGAAAAGAAGTAGGCAAAGATGAAGCTTATTTTGGATTTGGTTGGGGATGGAGAAGGACTTTGAAAATAAAAATATTTTACTGGGCACATCTGTAAATTCTTTAAAATTATGTCAAAGTATGTAAAATTGGAGCAAATTATTCAACATGTAGCTGCTTAGTAAAATCTATAGTTTACATTTTTTTGCTCTTACTCTAGCCTCTACTTTTGTGTTACAAAACAATTTTATGCGTCTCAGAGTTCTGTATGATCTACATTCACTATTGTGAATGCCTTTCTACAAATGGACATTAAAATCTATGAACTCATTTGGAAAGTCAGTATGTATTTGCTGGAGTGCAGTGTTTTGTTTCAACCGTGTAAGTTAAGGTCTAGCCTCTGGAGCCAGATTTCTGCATCGATTTCCTGGCTGAGTTCTGCAAATGTGGTTGGCACCTTCCGAGGGTAGCTCAGGTAGCCAGGAACTGAGATTATGTTTACCATTTTCATAAACCCTCATGGAATAAATATAGGCTCCTGTCACCATTTTTTCTACTCTCCCCACCTCTGGCCTTTAGCAGGAAGGAAGTATCATTTTCATCTTTTGGTACAATGAAAGCTCTGAGAATCTAGTTACAATTTCTCCTAGCAAATGGAATCCCAGAAGTGTCTGTACATAGCTGAAATGCACATGTCTTCTCCCCTTAGAGTTTTTTTTTTTTTTTTTTTTCAGACTACGGTTGAAAAATAGCTGCTCTTTAAATTATTCCATTACTTTACAGAGGAAGTATTAATTACATGACTGCAAGCATAGATCAGGCTGGGATGTAATTACAGGGCTTACTTTGTCTCTGTTGTCCAACAGAATTAGGCAGGAAGTGTTCATGATGCCAGCAGTTTAAGGTGTTTTGGAGCCCATTATGTTTTTGGTTCCCTCAAGAACTTAAGCATGGATCAGATGACATTTCTGTTGCCCAATTGTCTGGAATAACGACAAAGCAAGTATTGCTGGAGAAACATTTTTACAAGTTTTATATGTGTAATTGATAGAAAATGTTATAGGAATTCTTCTAAAGGTAGTCTTCTGTGGCGTTCCTTATTATCTGAGTTTTTTCTTTTGTCATAGTGTGAGTCCACTGCTGACTGTATTTGATCATCACATTAAACAATGATACGATTGAGAAGATAAAAATATGTTTGCATTATGCAGGTTTTGTTCCTTTTTTAATAATTCTGTCAGAAGTGTTTTATTCTTCACATCTAATTTCAAATTACAATGCCAGAATAGAAATAGAAGTTTCTAAAACTACCCTTCTATTTTATTTCCTTTGTTAGTGTTATGATTTCCTGTATTGTGATTTTTCATCACTCTTTTAAAGATGGAATCTATTTAAACCTTTACTTGTGAGGTCTCTTGCAAGGCCCCTGCAACCATTATGATCAGGTTTATCTCAACTTTTCAGCTTCGCCCCATCGGTTAAAGGAAGCTTTCACACGGCACAGCAGACCTCTCCTGTCTCGCCCGCTGCTCCCCTCAGCAGTGTATTTCAGTCAGTCTGCCTGTTCTGTTCCCCACTCTGTCTCTGGTGGGTCCTCTCACTCCCCACATCTCTGGCCTGTACCCCAGCTCTTGTATGCATAAATAAATAATTTTTTTAAGGAGGCTTTTCAGTTTGCTACTCCCTTCCATCATTTAGGGTTCTACATCTTCTGAAAATTCTTCTTATAGTTAAATGTTCTTCTCCATCTCTTCCCCTGTCCCAACTATTCTTTTTTAGACTTTTCTTGTTAATATTGGGCAAGCTGTATTTACATCCCTACTCTTTGCTCAGACTTTCACATTTTTAGACTCTTGGGTTTCCTCACATTCTACCCCAAATTATACTTTGAGTATACTTTTTATTTTTTCTGGGAGCACATGTGCATATAATCACTTTTAGTTGAAGTTTCATAACTCTGACCTTGTTGCTGTTTTTGCAATCGTTGTGCTTATTTCCTGTTCAAAGTTTCATCTTTCCTATTCTTACTCTTTTCCTT